GATTTTCACAGCTATTGAAAAGTAAAAAAAAAAACTATAATATAATATTTAAAAAAAGGAAATATGATAGTATACTTTAAACGATAACTTAGCTGTTTCTTATCCGATCTTAATGAATTTTGTTCACTTGATCAATAATATGGCTATGCGTATTATATATCCATTATAGCATTTATCGGAAATCAATGTGTATCGATGTATACAAACAGTTATAGATTCGATATCGTTATCGTAATTCGCTATGATAGGAGGATTGAGGATTGTTTCTCATTATACTGCTGACAATACCTAGTTTAGTTAGGTGCCTTCACTTCTTCGACTACAATATTCTGCAAAGAGACCGGTATGTATTCCAAGTCTGTTCTTTCCCTTCTTTATTTCTTCTGTCTGACTGTTACATATAAGTGCACAAAACCAATATACCCTTTTTATAAATTTTTAATGGGTTCAGTGCATACAAATATATGGAATACAAATGTTGCAAAAGATTTTTGACCGCTTGCCGCAAAATGCAACCAGATCTGGCACACATGTAGTTAAGCACATATATATATATATATATATATATATATACTGCATATATGGTTTTAAATAATTAAATGGGCCTGTGCAAATTTGCAGCATTTACCGCAGTTACTACAAATAATTTTGCATATTTTGCTTTTGGTAAGGTTTTGTGTTTCTGTATCATGCCAAATGAACATATATATGAATAAAACCTGACAAGGTATACGGCAACGGAGTCAACACACAAGACTGCATTTTGTTATTAAAATTGCACTTACACCTGAAAACTTACTAATTTATAGGTGGTACTTTAAATACTATTATTTGAACTAAACAGGAAAAAAAGGTTAACAAAATGTTCAACTACGGTTCTGATTATTAAAACTCAGTTATAAGTTTGACATCCACTTGTCAATTACAAATTTAATTGTTTTACTACATTTCATTTTATTCTTTGCAACAATTTGAATATATATAAGAACGTGTGAACAAATGTAGATACAGTAACAGATTCACCCCATCAAACTTAACCATTTTTTAGCCACTCGGTTTTAAAAGCATACTTTGCAGAGCTCCCCAGATATAATTTGACGTCGCATTAACTTTTATACTAATAATTATAAGAAATGTATCAAATCGAAATGAATTTAGGTTCCGTGTCCGATACTGAGACGTAAGCTATAAAATTTCCGCTGAAGGTTTTGGTAATTTTTCTGACTTTTAAAAATGTGTACGTTCTGTAATAGGAAGGAGATGGATTCTCCCACACCATAAGTTGTATATATATTGTTAATCAGGACTAACAGCCGAGTCGAATCTATATATATCGAATATATATATATATATATATATATATAAGCACCTGTACAGTAAAATAGATGTGAAGACGATAACTTTCATTTATATATTTGTATATTATATAAGGATCTGGCATTCAAGTCGTGCTTTATAGATATTGAAAATAAATATGAAATATTTATTTGGAATGACTTTGTAAGACCCTTTCTTAGATCGTTTGATACGGACAGACAGTGTGACAGAGAGAGAGGAATGAGTGGAGGGGTGAGGGGAGGTGTGGGGCAGAAAGAATGGGAAAAGAGAGAAGGGACAAGGTAGTCTGTAAGCCGAAACTGAATGAAATATCACATCCTGCAAAGAAATAAAAATCAGCGTGAGTAAAAAAGAAACACATAAGAAATAAGCAGGAAGCAGCCAGAGATGAAACAGGAAGTAAAGCACAAACACACACAAAGATGCACACACACTCTCACACATAGATAGACATACGCAGACTGTGAGAAACGCTCCCAGCGTCAAAAAGACAATGACGATGCAGGTTTCGTAAGGTGTGTTGGTGAAGGGGTTTGTTGGGGCGGGGAGGGTTGAGGGGGGGGTGCGGAGGTGAAGGTGAGAAGATGGAGGTGAAGGAGGAGGGGGAGGTGGGGGAGATTGTGTGGTGCCAGCATTTGTATACAGGAGTTAAGCAAATAAAAAAAAACACACACTGACACGCACACATAACGATGCTGCTGCGGCATCATACGTGACGAAAAGAAGAAGCAGAAGCAGCTGAAGAAGAAGCAGCAGGCGAAAGAAATATAAAAATAAAATATAATAGCTATGCAGTCAACGCAGCGTCGCTGCTGCGTCGCTGCTGCTGCTGCTACTGCGCCGTCGGACACTAAGCGATAATTTTTTATTTGTATGCCCGTAAAAACAAAAGGGGTGAGAGAGACAACAATACACACTTGGCTAAAGCCCACCCTCCTGCCCGGCCCTTCGCGCGTTATCCTTTGTGTAATTTTTGGTTTAATGAGGCAGCATTGGCATTGGCCTAACTCTCCCCTGACCCCTCCCCCCGTACACCTCCTCGCCACTCCTCAACAATGTCAACAGGCAAGCTTTTAGCAGGCAACCATTTTGTTGTTGTTGTTGTTTTTGCCTGTAACATTTTTATGACGACAGCATTAAGTTAAAATTTGTGTTAAATATTTTATTGTTTTTATGGTCACATGAACACCTTAATTTTTATGCCTGCGCTCCGGCAAATTATTAAAATAATATATAATGCTGCTCCTCAGGAAGACAGACGGAAAGTCAAAGACGACAGTGCTGCCTAAAACTATAGGACCACTCTTTCAAAACATAATTTAAAGGGTGTCTTTTTTAAATTTGTAAGTTTAAGCGACTTTTGAATACGTTTTTAGAAAGTGAAAAATTATAATTATGAAAATTAGATATAAAAAAGACTAAAAAAAGATGAGAATCAAAATAACTCCATAATTTCAATTAACATTCTCAACAACGGGCAGAAAATGAACGAAATAAAATAATTGAAAATAATAACAACATTTTTGAAAACTATAAACTTGCAACTTTTTGGCACTTTTAACTTCATATGAAAAAATAATAAATTTACAATATACATATTGAAAAGAGCAGTAACAACTTTAGGAGCAGTAACAACTTTAATTTATTGGGTGAATACTAAAGAACACATTAAGAATCAACATTTGATAAAATTGCAAAACTAATTTTTCCTTTTTTCACTCGCAAAAAAATCCATATTTGCGCTATGATTTAGTATTAAGTAAGCGTAAGTATGCATATAAGTAAGAATGTATGTATGCATGTAAGTATGTGTGTATGTGCTCAGATCGGGTGAGCTTAATTTAATACATGATTATTTTTTATTCAGCTTTCCCATATCCGAAGCTTAACTTTTACACATACACAAGTATGAATATTTATAAGCGAGTGTACGTATGTGTGTCTACATATGTATGCAGTTCTTGGCTTGTCCATTAATTACTCATTGCCAGTGTTGCCATGTCCAATTAAAAAGGAGCTAGTTTAGTTAGTAACTAACCCAAACTGCAGCCTGGAGGGGAGTCAGGAAAGTAATATTTATTTTTTGTCAATGGAAAATGGAAAATGAAAGCTCGATCAATGACTGGCATTAATGAAAGGGTATGCATAATTAATAAATAACTATATGTTCAATAATAATAAATATAAATAATATATATGAACAAAATAATAATATAATATAGATAATAAAATGAATATATATATAAATATATATAGATATAATATTTGTTAAATAAAAACCATTTTATTTGACAGACTTATTTTTCTTCTTCTAAATAATAGATTAATAAATATATACAAAATAATGGTAAATATAGATAATATAGATAAATAAATCAAATAAAATGAAGTCCCTAGAATATACATTTTTGCAGTGGTCAAATTTATTATAGCCAAAATGCATCCACTAATTCCAAGCATAAATCAAGCTAAAGCAAGCATAACTAAATAAGCAAAAAGCTCAACTCTAGCAGAAATATGAACCAAATGAAATTCTGCGAAAAAGAAACGACGATTTTATTAGCAACACAATATTTAGCAGAGAGCATCACTGAGAGCATGAATGTGTACGAGAGAGAGCGATAGAGAGAGAGAGAGTGTAAGACAGAGCACACGCTGGAAAGGCGCAGGCGTCAAGTCTGTTGACTTCCAGTCGTCCTGCTAATTATGCTCGCTAAGGGAAATAAGTGAAGAAAAAAATAAAAACAGGGTTTTCATTTCTAGCAGCTGGCAGCGATTTAGCGCCTGGCTAATTGAAATATTTGCAGTGTAGGTCAGTTTGACAAGCGAACAGAAGGGAAACGGAACATAAGCCATGAGAATTTTATGACTGTGCACAATAAAAAAAATTGAACAGGTAGAAAGTCTTTCATCTTCTCCTTTGCATCAGCTGTCGCTTGAACAATTAAAAAGTCATATGTTTAACAGCGCTGTTAAAGGTGAATTATTAGCCAGTGTTATGTTTTAACATTTGCACAACGCTAGCTGCCAAATGTTGTTTTTTTTTTGCCGCCTAAACTTGACAGCAAGCAAGGGGAGTTGTGTAGGGCAGGGGAGAAGCAGCGTAGGGGGTAAGCGCAACATAAAACTGGTTTTTTGGGTCAAGCGTAACAAAAAAAAGGGCTAACAAACTTGAGATAATTATTCAATGAAGCCGAGATCTGAGAAAAAAGAAAAAAACACGATAAACAGCCGACGTCGCAGTCGCAGCCAGGGCTATGCTTAAAGGGTTATCAAGCCGACGTCGAAGTCGCTGCAGCAGCGAGGGCTATGTTTAAAGGGTTAACGAATGCAATACACACACACACACATACATACACATGCAAGTACACGACCCGACTGGACAGGTTAGCAGGCAGCAGCAGCAGCAGAAAAGGTGAGCAGCAGCCGAGCGTATAAGAGTCAAATGCCCCGCGCAGTTTTTCTCTCTCGCTCTTTCGCTGCCCACGTGTGTGCGCTCTCTCTGTGTGTGTGCTGACTGCTCTCGCTCTCTCTCTCTCCATCTCTCTCCGGAAGTTGTGTGCGGTGGCTGCAATCTGCGACGGCGGCAGCGGCATTAGCGCTTTATTCCTGACGCCTGAGCTGGGCGCAGATTTTAGTACTCAATTGTTGTGCTGCGACGGCGTACGTGAATGCGGACGGTGAAAAATACACACCACGACACGTTCAAAGTGAAGTTTGTAAGTGGTTGTGTTGGTGTCTCTGTATATGTGTGTGTGTGTGACGCTGTGTCAGTGTGCCTATGCATGTGCTTGTGCCTGTGTTTGTGTATGTGTGTGCTGCTGCCTGTGTATATACGCACACATGCACATTATATGTGTGTGCGCTCGTGCAAAGGAAAATTAGTTGGAAAATGTATAAAAATTCTTTGAATGCGACATAAAATCAAAGAACACGAAAACAATACAATAATGATTACAAAATAAAATACAAAATTACATTAATAACATTAAATCAAATAATCAACCTTTTCGCAGCAAAAAAAAAAAAAGACAGCAAAAAAATTGGCAGCAGCAGCAATGACCAGTTATGTTCGTGATTTTCACGCTCACTGTTAGTGGACTGTTAGAGGACTGTTAGAGGACCACACCCGCGCATCAAATGCACACAGAGCTTACAAGAAAAACTGAAAAAAATGTAAGCGGCTGTTTTAGCTAGAGAAAAGCAGCAGAGCAACGTTGAAGTCAGAGTCAGAGCAGAACAGAGCCAGGTGCAGCGCAGAGTCAGAGCAGAGCCAAAGCAATGCCAAACTGAGAGCAGAGTTAGAACAGAGTTGGAGCAGAAGCAGAGCAAGAGCAGAACCAGAGTCAAAGCAGAGACAGAGCAGCGCCAGAGCAGAGTCTGTAAGCGAATTTCCAGTTTTTCGACTGCAGCCCAAAAGGATCAGATGGAGAGCAGTGAGTAAAAGAGTACGTTGGCTGGAATGCAGCGCTGTGCTCAAGTTCTAGTTGCATTGGAAGGGGACAGAGTGACAGAGACATGGACAGAGTGCGTAACAGAAGAGGTGTCGACAGCGGGGTAAAGTTGTCATGCAGGATGTTTTTTTATTGCTTGAGTTGCGCAATTGAATATTTCCCGCTATTTTTTAGCGCTAGACTCAAGCAAAAAAATCAACAACAGCTGTTTAGAGTTTAAGTTTGGAAAATGTAAAATGTAATAAAAAAAATATAAATAAAATAATATCTAAAATAAAATAATACGTACAAGAAATATAAATAATTAAATTAAATATGTAAGCAGAAATGAATATATAAAAAACTTATAGAATAACAAACGAAATTAAAAATTTAAAAAAGTATAAATAAGAAATAAAAAAATAATGTACAACAAAATATATAAATAGTAAATAAAATAAAATAATAATTAAAGTCAAGCAAATATAATAAACCAACACTTATACAAATTTGGATTAGACCAAGCGAACAACTACCAAAATAACACCAAGCACTTTGTGCGCCGTTTGGGAGCACTGTTTTTGTGCCTGGAACGAAGACTGCTGCTGCTGGTGCTCAGCAGCGCAATTTTTCCAATAGAGAGCAGAGTCAAAAAACCGAAACTGAAATTGAAACAGAAACTGAAACAGAAGCAGAAACAGAGAAACATGAAGCTGGCTGTGCTGAGGCTAAAGCATTAAATTAGCAACGGTAAACGCAGAGCTGTATTTTTTTGGGGGGTTAGGTTGAAAAAAAAACTAAAACAAAAAAGCAGTGTGTGAAACAAGCAGCTGAACAAATAAATTGGCAAAGTTTTGGTGCGAACAATTACATGACGCACTGTATTAATTATATATAGATATTTATTATATAATGCGTTTTGGGGCACAAATGAGTCACGTGCTTAGCAAACATAAATTAGAAGTGTATGCCCTATGAGTGTGTGTGTGCTTTGGTGAGTAAGTGTGTGTGAAAAAAGTGTCAAAAGCAATCGGGAATTTGGCAGGAAACAACTTCCCTTTTACGAAATGATTACAACATCAAAATCGTTTGTAATAATTTTTCTTATTTTTACGCCATATTGATTTTAGTAGTTGCGGTGCATAACAAAAATAAATTCTTATTTTACGTCTTTTTTGTGTTAGCCAACCCTGAAAAGTCAAACGGCAAGCGGCAAACGGGTTTCAAAAGGGTCCTTCATCAAAAAATAAAAAAATAACGTAAATGTTTCTGAAAGGCAAGTGTCATAAATCAAGCGATTATCCTGTAAACAAAGTGTAAAACGCGCTCAACAACAGCAACAACAAAAATAACAAACAACAGCATCAGCATCTAAAAACGGAGCGGATAAAAACAAGCCAACAATTTTAGCAGTTTTTCCTGCTGCTCAGCGGAATATTTATTCCTAATAAAACCCAAATTTTTACTACAACAACAAAAGAAACTCCTCAGTGTGTTCTTTTTATTACTTGAGCATTTAATTTTGCTGCTGAGGCGGTGTTGGACAACGACAACAACACATTTTGGGCAAGCCAAGAAGAAGAAGCAGAACACAGCACATTGGATTGGCTTTGAATGAATACTTTATAGAATGCTTGCGCCAGTGAGGTGAGTATAAATTATGCTCAGTGTATCATTGTAAAAGACCCAAGGTATTAAGTTGAATAAAATTGACAACACTTACACTCACGAAAAAAAATCAGCCTCACTTTTAAAACTCTAATATAAATGCCAAGCCAGTAAGTTTCATTACCTGTTTTAGAATTAAAAAAAAAATTAGAATTGGTATTTCTACTTTTTTGAAATGCATTTCTTAAAAACAGAAAATAAAAAAAATCGGCATACTTTTGGGATTGTTGATTTGGGGCAATCGTTTCTTACATTTAGCATTTTATTCTGCAATTTAGAAATGATTTTTAAACACAAGAAAACCATATATTTTTCTGAGTGTGTATTTAGTGTATCGAATGCCAAAACAAGTCACGTGAAAAGTACCCTGGAGCACCTTAAACAAAAGCTAAATTAAATTGAAGAAATTAGTTGCAAAAAGTAATTACAATTTATGGTTTTTCAATTACAATCTAAGCAATATGTAATTAAATGCCAACTGCTTCAATTACAAAGTGTTGCAGGGCATAAAAAAAAAACAAGAGACAAGTCCAATTGGCATGTGTGTGGGAAAGTATTCTTGGCATTTCTTGTGACGTTGTCATCACTAAACAGAGAGACAAAAGAAAAAAGGGGGATTAGTTCAAGTTTGTTGTTGTTTCTATGGTATTTTATCTTCTTTTTGGTTTGAGGTTCGTTTTCAACTTCGTCTTCCTCTGCTCGGTTTCCGCTGTAATTGCAGATTGTAAAGCCACAAAAAACTACAAAACATATCTGTAAATACTCACAATGGCAATTGGCATCTGGCAGTTTGTTGCAAGTAGGAAATTTCAATAAAAAAAAGAAAAGAAGAAAAAGGAAATTGCAATTTCCATAAACAGAATTATTGATGCCACATTTGCGTTTTGCTTGACTAAATCTTTGATTCCAATCAACACTTTTTTTTTTCTTTGCGAACATTTGATTTGATTCTTCTCACTGCGATTCAGACATTAGTTATTATTATTTTTATATAAATTCAAAAAGTAAATAATATATTAAATTAAACTAAGAATAAAATGTTATATTTAATATAAATTAAGAAAATAAGAAACAATTATATGATTCTAAAGATTTTCAATTCTTCTAGAGAGTCTTTCAGTCTTGACCTGTCTTAGTTTACAAATTGATAAATAATGATCAATTATTGTTTTTTAGCTCTACGTGAAGTGATTTGCGCATATGGCTTTTGCTCTTGAGTGAACTCAAAAACAACGATTATTTTCACATATACTATGCACAGAATGTATGCATTTGCTTGATGTGTCAAAACACTTTCTTGACAAACACAGACTGAAAACAGTCGCAAAACATTTGTTGTTAGCATTAAATTGAATGATTAATCTATGCGAATAGAACAAAAGCCACAAAACAGTGTTGAAATCAATATTAGACGGTATCATTTATCATTATTAACTTAATTTGAAGTTAAATTTAATTAATTTATTATTTTTTTTGTCGACTGTCTTTAGTTGAAATTTAATATAGAAATAAATAATTGATGCATTTAATGTTTAACGAGTGTTTTCATTCCCTCTGTTTATATTCGGATTTGAGTTCACATTTGGAGAGTGTTATTTGCCTCTCGCTCTAACGCAATCGAGCAACTATTGTGAAGGTCAACTGCTTCCCCTCTCTCTCTCTCTCTCTCTCTTTTATGTTGTGCTGCCCAATTCGATATCCATTTATGCATTCAGATTGATTGCGTGTTTATCTTGAGTTATTGAGCTTTGGTATTTTTTTTGTATTAAGGTCAAATGCCTTACTATATTTAGGTAAAACCTATCAGGGAGAAAATCAAGAAGACGAAGCAAAGCAATAAATGACGTCGCTAAATGTTATTAACTCACGAGACGAGATCATTGACGGCGCTGTAGAAAAAAAAACACTAAAAAACACTAGTCAAAACATAAAAAAAATCTCCGTAAACAAAAAAAAAAGAAAAATAAAAAACAAGCGTAAGCAATAATTCTAAACACAAAGTGAGCAACAAACGACAGCAAAATGAAAATATCAAAAGAAAAAGCAGAAAGAAAAAACAACTATGAGAAATATAGATAGGGGAGAGGAGGCGAGGGACTGGGCAGCATAAAAAGCATAGGCAGCCCGAGGCAGCGACTGACTTGAATGGTCAACCGTTCCGTAGTTCATTGGAATTTCTGTTGCTGTTGAATGCGAGACGAAAATGGGAGCGAAATGTAGGAAGCTGGAAGTGGTGGGAAGATAGGGACAGAGAGCGAGCAACTCACGAGAAAAATGGAGAGCACTTCTGTACGTATGTGTATTTGTGTGTAAGTACTTATGTGTGTTTATGAGTGTGTGTGACTGTAACAAAAGTAAAAAAAAAAATCAAAGCTATTCGATTATTTATGTTGAGCAGTTTTTGTTGCACTCGGGTTAAGTGTAAACATTTCGCTCAGTGTTTGTTGCTGAGTGTGTGTATGCGATGTTTTTATTTTTATAAAATGCAGTACAACTACATTTTTCTCAGTGTTTTATAAAGTTGGTCAGCGTGTATTCGATGTTATTTTTGGTTACATTGCGCCCACAAAAAAACAAGTGAGAAAGTTACAGGGTGTAACCGACTGCGAAATACTCTGATACCAATAGGTATTCTGATAACAGGTGCCACAGAATAGAAATCGCGATCTTTGAAGATAATCTGTTCTCAAAGTTTGGCTTTAAAATTACGAAAGATATTTGCGAAAATGTTAAGTAGTTTCCTAGTAATCTACATTCCAAGTTTGGTTACCTTAGCTCTTAAATTGCCGCAGATATATGATTTTACTCTTCTTGGGGGCGGTAGTGGGCGTGACTAGCCTTCCAAGTTTGGTGACGCTATCTTTAAGATTGTGAGATATATGCGGTTTTATCGATTTACACCTTCATAAATAACCAATATACTCATTCGTAACTTCGGTAACAGGGTATAATAAAACTGGCGCGCATAATGACGCGAAGTTTGACAACAAAACAGACAAACGAATAAGAAGAAGAAGCGAGTTATTCACCACCAACAACAACACCGACGACGTCGTCGATCAACACAAAATGAAGTTCTGCAAGTTGAATTTGTATAAGAGAGGCAAAGCTGACAAAAGCTGAAAAAGCTGTCAAGCAAACTTGTTTGCCAACTCCGAATTCGAGTTCGAACTCGACTTCGACAGATACACACACAGCTATAGCTATACACAGAGAATTTCCTGCATCAGCAGCTGTGCCAATTTAATTACATCAGATGGGGAGGGGAGGGCAGTCGACGCAGAACGCAATTTACAGTTACTCAGTGTGGCAGCCATAGATCTGCGCACTTGCCAGGTAGCTGAAGAAGTACGGGTATTCCCTTTAACAACTACCACGAGTATTATTGAATTTCCTGCATTGTTTTTTGCACTGCATTCGTTGAATTGGTGCGTAAACATTGACCCAGTTGTGGGTTTTTTTTTTACTTTTTGTTATCAGCAAGTCGGGAGTGGGAGTCGGTGAAATTAGGTTTTCTCATTCGAACTGCAATCGGATTTGTATTATATTTTATGCTACTTGCAAAATCTGTAATAATAATGTATAATAAAATAAATAATATGTAGATAGTTATGCAAGACATTTTTGTAAATAATTATTGTGTAGCGTCGGATTTAGAAATAAAATTATGTGGCTTGAAAAAGATCAAAAGTGCTACGCAACCCAATAATTTAAAAGTCACAAACTTAAGACTATTTTGCTCTTCGTCCTGCTTAAAGAATATTTATGTAGCTGTAACTTTGGCTACACTTTTGCTTTTTTAAAACTGCATAACTAAATATTTTGTTAAATATGTAGACTGTTTTTTTAGTTTTCTTACAGAAAAGCTTTGAGGTCAAAAATGCTAATAGGCTAATAGGTTTTAACAAAAAAGCTGAAAGGGAACCATAAATTGAAACTAGATCCTCTACTTTGTGGCCAAAAACTAAATAAATATATAAATTAAATAGAAAAAAAAGGAAGAAAGACAAACCAAGAAAGTTTGCAGAAAATTACAGAATCATTTTTAAATTTAGAAAAAAATGTATTAAATTAAATCTCAAAATTAAATTTAAATTAAAAAGAAATAATAAATATTTCTAACATTGGTTATATCAGTATGCTTAAATATTTGAAACAGACCCTTTTTGTCGTGGCCATAACCACAATGGCTAACCAATAATACAGCAGCACACTCAGCCCAGCATAATTTGCCCCCGTTTTGTGGCAGGGCTATTTTTAGGTCGAGTTTTCTTTGTAAAGTGTTCTCGGTGTTCATTATTTTGTGGCAGCTATTAAAGTAATTTGCCACATTTGTCGCCAACCATTAGGCGCTATTAAAGCGCAATCAGAACGATTCACAGTCTCGTTTCCAGCCTTCTTTCTGCCCCAAAACTTCTCAATACTTGAGAATCAATTTTGAACAACAAAACAAGGGGAACAGAATAAGTTGTAAAAAGTTTGAACCCCTTTTTTATTAGTTTTTTTTTAGTTATCGATATGTCATTGGAGACCAGAATGTCGCAATGGATAGTGTAGTTTACGCTGCTGGCACAGGTCAATGGACTCTTTCTGCGCTGATTTTTATGAGTATGCCGCAAAATGTGCTGTTATGTTGTGCGTGTGTGTGTGGGGGGGTGTGTACTCTTGTACAAAAGAGGCTGCTAAGCCCTAGCTAGCTAAAAATCAATATCTTCAAATGTGCTCAGGCTCCTGGCACACTGTTCGTAAAACCATTGAACCAAGCATATAAATATGTATGTACATATTTACAACTATACATATAGAGTATATACACTCGAAAAAAGTAACACTGAACTTTAAAAATTCGCCAAGGCTAACTCAGCCTATTAATCAGAGTTTATATTTTAAATGTTTTTCTTAGTGTCTGTGTGTACATACATTTATATATAATATATAGTATAAAGGTCTTGGTGTGTGCTCTGTTGACTTTAAGCTAA